ACTGGAAAGGACACCAACTGACGATTCTTATGTGACCACAGGTAACAACAAGGCTGATGCAGCGGCACAGGCTCGCACAAGTGACTCTGCCGCAGGCCCTGCCCCTATCCTCTTTCTATTGGTCCACTTCATCACTCCGACTTCTGAGCCTAATGAACGCCAATTCCTCATGTCAAAAGGAGGAACTGAGATATCCCAGGGGTGGATTATGGTAAACGACACTCTGATCCTACCTGCCAAACTGGGGGACTTGGTCTTTGAACAAATCCACGATACCCTCCACATCAGGCCATGCCCACTTACTCAATTCCTGAGTCTGCTCTTCTTCCACCCCTCCTTGAGTGCAAAAGTCTGGCAGATATGTTCCCGTCGTCAAACCTGTGCTCGCGTGTCACCTCAAGGGGGAGTTCTTCTTTTGCAGCTCACCAACTGCGTGGACACTTAGTCCGGACAGGACTGGCAGGTTGAATTTACTCACCTCCCTACTCAAAAAAAGGTTAAATATCTGCTAACCATGGTTGATACAATGACAGGTTGGGTCGAGGCCTTCCCTGCAGCTAGAGAAATGGCTCAGGTGGTAACTGAGACCCTTCTTAAACACATTATCTGCGCTTTGGCCTCCCCATCTCTGTCCAATCTGATAATGGTCCAGCTTTTATCTCAAAGATTACTCAGCAGGTCTCCACGGCTTTGGGTATCATTTACCCAGTCCTGTCTCGAATCTCGACCTTCTCAACGGACCTTCCCCACCACTGCATCTGGGAGACCAAGTCCTGCTCAAATCACTTCAACCAAAGCCACTGCAGCCTCGGTGGACTGGTCCGCACACAGTTGTTCTCCCCACACCTACAGCAGTAAAACTTCTGGGAGACCCCTCCTGGCACCATCTATCATGGGTCATATGTGCCCCTGAAGACAAACAGTATGTGTGTCATAACCTGGGTCCCTCTAGGATGCGCATTTCTTGTCAAAATCTCCCCTAGCCCAGTGTCCTGTGTATGGAAATGACTCTTTTGGGACTAATACCTCCTCTTGTTTCCTCTGAGCTTCCCTTCAGAGGCCTCTTCTGGTGGCAGTTCCAGTTAATCTCAATACCACTACCACCAAGATAACAGATACTGCTTGCGAGACTCCCCAACTCTCAGTCCCACTATGGGACCCCAGTCACAGCTATCCCTGCTATCAAACTAACGCCCTGTCGGCTTTCATTCCTGCGCTTCTAGCATTTCGGTTACTTCTGCGCTGCAAACAACAAGGGGAACCTTTTTCTGGTGCAATGGCTCTCTCTCAGTGTGTTAATTCTTCCACTCCAGGCCCACGTGTCCAAGTTCTGGTGGCCCCACAGTTAACTCTGTATGGACGGTCTGAGCTAGGGTGGCTACTCTCCCCTTGGACTTGTTAACGGCTGGTAAAGGAGGCACTTGCCTGCTCCTAAGGGAAGAATGCTACTACATTAATGAATCAGGCATTGTAGAACAAAATGTGGAAGCCTTGAACAAATTACACAGGGACTTGCAAAGGGAAAGAGGGGACTCCAACTCTCCATTAACCTGGTTTCAAAATTCTAGTCCCATGGCTCCTCCCACTCTTGGGGCCAATATTCATGATAAACTTATTTTTTCTTTTTGCTCCGGGCCTCCTAAAATTCATACAGGCTCGCGTTCAGGAAATGTTCTGTACCACCTTTAACCAACTTCTTCTCCATCCATATTCTTGCATCCCTGCAGAAGACCAGGTCTGAGCCACCCCCCACCCTACCCCCTCAGTCCCCCATCCCCTCACCCCCCCCTCCATTTGCCCCCTTCCAGCAGGAAGTAACCAAAACAAGAGCTGTCACCCCTTTTCCCATCAACAAAAGACTGGTATAAAAGGTAAATGTAGGAGGCTGGAATGCAAAAGCCCACCAGGAAGCCCACCTGGGGGCAGGAATTGTGAAGCCTGCCTAGAAAATTCAGACAATGAACCTCTTCCCACCTTACCAATCTTTTCCTCCTTACCAATCTTTTCCGCCATGGAAACCCAGTTTCATACCTCTCCTCGCCCTATAAAAGCCTGCTTCCCACTGGCAACGTGTGCGACTTCACCGACCCCCACCTTGGGTCTGTGAATCTCTCCCGGGGGTGCAATAGATTTTCACCATCTTTGAGAAACTTAGCCTGGCTTTTCATTTCTTTACTGTGCCGAACCTTTCACCAACAAGGAAACTCCAGCCTGAAAACTCTTTTTATTGTTACTTTTCATTGCGAGGGTAGGATTGATGTAATCCTGGCTTTAGTGAGGAAACTAATCTCAGCTCCTCTCCCTGGAAGCCTTAGATGAAACTGTGCACTGAACAGTAATATCCAAAATCTTTTGTTAAATATCCTCCAGTCTATGCAGTTTCGTCCTCTCTCTTCTTTTTCTACCCTTCCCTAGGTGTGCCATGAAGACAATATCAGGCCTTGCTGTTCTTTCTACGAATATATGCTTTCAACCTCCCCTGAACTTTGATAAGAATAAACACACCCACGTCATCATCTTCAGAGACCCAGCAATAGCCTATAGTGCAGAGTACAGTCATCTCAGTAAAGATTTAGCTAAAGAACAAACAAACCAAGGAATGAACAAATGAAAAAAAAAAAAACAAACACCCCAACCCACCTGTCTTAAGGCAGACTGCAGGCCTAGATCTCCCCAGGGACACAATCTACTATATCATTGACAACAGGACACACCCTCTCACTGAGGAGTCTCATTTGGCTTTGAGCAGCATTCTACTCTCATTTTAATGTTGGGTGATGTTAGTCCTAATTTGAATTTGGATTTGTTAACCTTACTTCCTTAACTGTATACCCAGTTCTTCCAGAACAAGAGTGGTTTCTGCCTTACATGAGGAAAGGACCCATCCTGGAACTCTCAGCCTCTATGTCACTGGAAGCGAACCTTTGTCTTTCTGGTCACCAGGCCTGACCTGAAATTTCCTAGGGCCCAGCTCAGTCATCCAATAGCATAAAAGGACCCTCTGAGTGCTCCTGAGATTCCCTGGGTTTTAGTAGCTGAGGTCGCAAACCAAGTATTTTTGTGTATTACAACATAAGGGGGCTCCTGGGATTTTGGGTCAACAAAAGGAGAAGACCACCCAAGGTGTGGGCAAAAATATTTGCAAATTATATACCAGATAGGGAGTGTATTTTAAAAATGTATAGGAAGATAAATAAATAATACAATTAAAAATCAATAAATTGAAGAGACATTTTCTAAAATATGCAGATATGCAGATGACTAAGTTCATGAAAATGTGCTCAGCATCTCTAATCATAAGATAAATGCAAATCAAAAGGCAAAATGGGAGACCCTGTCACACTCGTCTGCAAGATTATGAACAAAAGTCAAGAGGTAAGCAATGGTGAGCTGTGGTGAGGAGGAACGGGGTGGGGATCTCTCAAAGCAGCAGCCAGTGCACAGGACATCCCTGCCCAGGAACGTGGTTCTGGATTCCATGGCTCTGTCTCCCAGGGCTTGTGTATCCAAGAGAGCGCAGTAGACACCCCCTGTTAGGGGGAAAGGATGTCCTGAGCTAATTCCATACAGGCTTTGTGGACTCCACCCCCAATCCAGACCAAAGCCATCAAGACACTGGAAATGACAAATCCCATCATCACCAATGGGAGGGCTGCTGGGACTTGAGGGTGGAGTTAAGCTGCCAGGTTTGGTATAAAACCAGACATGTGGACCTTGGGGCTCTCTCTTGGCTTCAAGGCTCTTGGCTCTTGGCCAGCTCTCAGCATGCCATTGGGATTCCAGGTCAGCAGAATGGGTAGGACACATTCATGAGTTTATCTGCCTCTTTTTCTCCCTGAGTTATTCATTTCTTCATTTTCCCTTTCTTGTTTTTTTAATGAAAAAAATTTTTTTTTAATTTTATACAAACACCGGGTACAGTCGGAAGCACGGGAGGGTGAGAGAATTCACCAGAGCCAGAGCGGGGAACAGAACAGGCAGACTGACGAAATACACTGCTGAGGGGAGCAGCGGGCGCCAGGAGAGGTCTGCGAGCCATGTGGGACCCTTGCCCTGCCGCCGGGGATGGAACCTGTGCTGCAGAGGCTGTGGGCAGCTTCACAACCAGGCGCTCAACCGCTGAGCCACCAGGGGAGGCCCCATTTTCCCTTTTTTTTTTTTTTTGTAAATAAACCTTTTATTAACCTTTTGTGTGTGCCTGCAGTGTAAGTCCCTTTTTAAGCACACGGCTGAGGACCCAGTCAGGCAGCCCATTTTATATCGGGGTTGCCCTGTAACACCCCAAAGCCATTGCAGGCCCCTCCCCAACCTCTCCTGGCACTAATGGCAAAAGGACAGTCAGACAGACACTGCTGGACAAACGTCCTGATCTGGGACCCAGGAAATGCACACCCTGTCCTGGGTCTGTCTCTGCCTGAGTCCCGACACCCTCTGAGCCTCAGGTCTCCTTGTGGCGTGAAGAGCCTCCACCCCCAGGGGCTGCTGGAGCAACAGCAGCAGCAGCAGCAACAGCATCTGGGCTCCTGTGTCCTGAGCATCTACTGGGTGTGAGATCTGTGCCGAGTGTTTCCCGTGGGGTCTCTTCACCCTCACACAGTCCACAGCGCAGCAGCCTCCTGCTCTCCCATGTCACAGATGGGGACCCTGAGGCGGAGCAGGGAAGGGGGAGAGCCAGGAGGCCAGGCCAGAGTCTCCCTGGCAGCTGACAGGACACCTATCCCCACCCTCCCAGGGCCCTTCTGAATGTCAGCCTCCTCCTCTCTGGGCTCTGAGCACCCCTCCTGGGCAGGTGAGGGCACATGGGGTGCTGGGAATGCACTTGTCATGTGAGGGGTCCTGTAAGCGCTGCCTCCTCTGGTCCCCGATCCCTCCTTGGATAGACTGGGCCCCAGTCACTGACTAGAAGAAGGCTTAGTAGGGTTCAGGGGTGTGGCCAAAGCAGCAGAAGTGTTGAGGGGAGAGAAGATTGACACCAAGCAGAGGGCACTTTGTCTACTCACTTGATGTAGAAATATTAACTTCTAGGGTTTCAAGCAATTGTTCCGTATCCAGGTCATCTACACGGTCCAATTTAGAGATGATTGCTTCCATATCAAGCCGCAGGACCTCGGACTTTTTGAGTTTCTCACCCGTTTGGGTCAAGTGCAATGACTGCTGTGGGTGGTCTTCATGGTGCGCAATTGCTTCAGCTGGACCCAGAGAGTTCAGTGGGAGGGGAAGGGGGTGGTGGGACAGGAGGAACATCAGGCAGGCAGGAAAGTGCTCACCCTTGGCCCCATCCCACCATGCCAGAAGGGAAGACTCCACTGGGATCATTCCCCTCCTGGTAAGCTCCTACCCAGCACTCACTCAGAGCCCAGCTTTTCACACCCCAGGGAACCTGCTAGTAGGTGGTGTTGGGGGAGGAAGGAGAACGGAGTGCTAGAAAAGCCATAGTAAGGAGGAGCCCAGGGGATGGGAAACACTGGACAAGGTCAGGAGACCTGGGGTCGCAGGGGAGTGATGGGGGCCTCATTCAGGATCCCTGATGGGGTGGGAGGGTAAGGGGTTGGGGTGACACCACTGATCTGTGTCCTCTGAGTCTTCCCTCTCCTGGACCTGGACTCTGGGGTCCCAGCCTTGGCATTGATACTGACAGGAGGTGGGGGTTTCAGGGGGTCGATCTCAGAGCATCCACCCCCAGGTCTCCTCAGACCTTGCCTGGCCCTGGGACACCAACTGAGAAGAACAGGCCTCAAGCAGCCAGAGCAGGACGTCACCCAGAGGAAAGCACACTGGGGTGTGGCCAGGGGAGTGGAGGGGTCAGGGCAGGCCTGCTAAGGGCAAAGATTCAGAGCAGGGCACCCACATCAGCCACCTCCACAGACAGGCCAGGGAGTGGAATCAGGGCGCTCACCAGGTTGGGCAGGGATCACACAGGTGCAGGCACTTTCAGAGGGGAGCCCCCACCCCTAACCTAATGTAGAGTGTGGGCTTTCTAGGGAGGTAGGTTTGGGGTGCAGTGCAGCTCTCAGAAGGAAACGACAGTAGGCCCAGGGATCATTGTTTCAGCCACTCTGGATTTCAGAGTTTCCTGAGTCCCATTGCAAATCCTGCCATGTATGAGGGGCGCTGAGCTTTGTGTGTTCCAGGCTGAGTGGGCTTTGCAGGCAGCTCAGCACTCAGTATCTCTCAACCTTCCCTCCCGAAGCAGAGCTGGGGACACTGGGTGTGAGAGTGATACCTATTGACTCTTGCCTGTTGGGGGGAATCGTTTCTGGAGGTGCCTGGCTTCACATGGGATTGAGGAAACCAGGCCTGAGGAGTTGCAGCTCAGACTTGCTTGGACACTGACTCTCTGGGTGGGTGATTCACTGCCCTGAGCCTCCCTTTGCTCACCTGTCAAACTGCCATCTTAGGTAAGCCAAAACGTAAAAATCAGCAAAAGCTGATAGAAACCTTTAAACATTTCATATAATGATTATTTCTATTTTTCATGGACAATACACACTGGAGGACATTCTGACAGTCAGATTCACCGGAGCTGGTAGTGCTGCCCTGTAGAAGGGATGATGTCAGGAATTTGAGCCTCTACCAGGGACCCTAAGTCTCTATGTATACAGAAGTTTATTCTGGAACAGAGGTTTGGGTTTTTATCTCCTGACTCCAGCTCTCTGGAACACCAGCTGGGTGTCCTACAACTCAATTCAATATTGACATGAACTTCCCAGACTCAGCACAAGACCCAGGGTTTCAAGGGGTTCATCCTGTACACAGGACCACTCCTCACTGCAGATGGCAGTTGCCAATGAGGTGCCCTGATTATCCACCCTGTTTGTTCATCCTACAAATTCCAAATTTCTCACAACCCCACAAATGCTTTCAAGTTTGATAGTTTCCTAGACTGACTCACAGGACTCAGGAGCAGTCTCCTTACTGGTTTAAGATGCAGGTTTCTGGCCCAGGACCCACAAAGGGACGCAGCACAGGGTGAGGGGTTGGGGGTACAGGGGCTCCTAAGCCCTGTCCAGGTATGTCCCTTCCAGCACTTCCCTGTTTCACCAACAAGGAAACTCCAGCCTGAAAAGGCTTTCTCTTTTTAGATTTCATTGCATGGGCAGGATTGATGAAATCCTTGGCTTTAGTAGGAGCCTCATCTCAGTCCCTCTCCCTGGAAGCCTGAGATAAAACTGTGCACTGAACAGTAACATCTGAAATCTTTGTTAAATATACTCGATTCTATGCAATTCCTCCTCTCTCTTCTTTTTCTATCCTTCCCTAGGTGTGAAGTGAAGACAATATCAGGACTTGGTGTCCTTTCTACCAAGATATGCTTTTAACCTGCTGTGAACTTTGACAACAACAAACACACCCACAATATCATCTTCCAAGATTCAGCAACAGACTACAGTGCAAAGTATAGTTATCTCAATAAAGATTTAGCAAAACAAAAACAAAAACAAAAACACAAACACAAAACCCACTTGTCTTAAGGCAGCCTGGAGGCCTAGTCCTCCCCAGGGACACAATGTACTTTTATCATTGACAACAGGACACACCCTCTCACTGAGGATTCTTTTTTGGCTTTTGGCTGCATTCTACTCTCAATTTAGTATTTGGTGATATTAGTCCTAATTTGAATTTGAATGTTAACCATACTTCCCTATTTGTATACCAAGTTCTTCCAGAAGGAGACTGGTTTCTGCCTTTCATGTGGAAAGGATCCATCCTCAAAATCTGAGCCCCTCCCCAGAAGCCAACCTTTGTCTTTCTGGTCACCAGGATTGCCCTGTAGTTTCCTAGGGCCCAGCTCAGTCATCCTTTAGCATAAAAGGACCCTCTGAGTGCTCCTGAAATTCCCAGGGTTTTAGCACCTGAGGTCGCAAACCAAATATTTTTGTGTATTACATCATAAGGGGGCTCCTGGGATTTTGGGAAAAGTTTTCAATTAGCAGTAATCACACCTCGGATAAACCTCATTGGCTACAATACTGCCATTGTGCAAAGCTTCCTGGGATTTTGGGTCAACAAAGGAGAAGACAGCACAAGGAGAGGGCAAAAATATTTGCATACTATATACCAGATAAAGAGTTCATTTTTAAAATATACAAAGAAGACAAATCAATAATCCAATTAAAAATCAATAAATTGAAGAGACATTGTCTAAAAGCAGATATGCAAATGACCAAGTTCAGGAAAATGTGCTCAGTATCTCTAATCATCAGGTAAATGCAAATCAAAAGGCAAAATGGGAGACCCTGTCAACACTGTCTGGAAGATTATGAACAAAAGTCAAGAGGTAAGCAATGGTGAGCTGCGGGGAGGAGGGATTGGGGTGGGGATCTCTCAAAGCAGCAGCGGGTGCAGGAGACATCCCTGCCCAGGAACGTGGATCTGGTTTCCATGGCTCTGTCTCCCAGTGCCTGTGTCTCCAAGAGAGGGCAGGAGACACCCCGGAAGCTATTGCAGGCCACTCCTCAACCTCTCCTGGCGCTCACGGGAAAACGACACCCAGACAGACACTGGACAAACGTGCTGATCTGGGACCCAGGAAATGTACACCCTGTCCTGGGTCTGTCTCCACCTCCCTGTGTGAGTCAGATCCCTCTCTGAGCCTCAGGTCTCCCTGTGGTGTGAAGAGCCTCTGCCCCCTGGAGCTGCTGGAGCAATAGCAGCAGCAGCAGCAGCAGCAGCAGCAGCAGCAGCATCCGGGTTCCTGTGTACCGAGCACCTGCTGGGTGTGAGATCTGTGCCGAGTGTTTCCCGTGGGGTCTCTTCACCCTCACACAGTCCACAGCGCAGGCTGCTGCTCTCCCATGTCACAGATGGGGTCCCTGAGGTGGAGCAGGGAAAGGGGAGAGCCAGGAGGCCAGGCCAGTGTCTGCTTGGAAGCCAGACAAGACCACTATTGGCTGCCTCCCAGGGCCCCTCTGAATGTCAGCCTCCTCCTCTCTGGGCTGCTAGCACCCCTCCTGGGCAAGTGAGGGCACATGGGATGCTGGGAATGCACTTGGCAGGTGAAGGGTCCTGTAAGTGCTGCCTCCTCTGGTCCAGGATCCCCCCTTGGATAGAGTGGGCCCCAGTCACTGACTAGAAGAAGGTCTAGGAGAGTTCAGGGGTGGGGCCGAGGGGGCTGAGGTGGTGGGGGGAGAGAAGAGTGACACCAGGCAGCGGGCACTTTGTCTACTCACTTGCTATAGAAATTACAACTTCTAGGACATGAGCCATTTTTTTCTTATCCGGGTCACGTGAGAGGTCCAACACAAGACTGAGTGCTTCCATATCAAGCTGCAGGAACTTGGACTGTTTGAGTTTCTCATCCGTTTGGGTCGAGTGCGATGACAGCTGTGGATGGTCCTCAGGGTGTGCAATTGCTTCAGCTGGACCCAGGAAATCAGTGGGATGGGAAGGCGGTGGTGGGATGGGAAGAACATCAGGCAGGCAGGGAAGTGGTCACCTTTGGCCCCATCCCACCATCCCCCAAAGCAAGACTCCATTGGATCATTCCTCTCCTGGTAAGCACCTGCCCAGCACTCACTCAGAGCCCAGCTTTTCACACCCCAGGGAACCTGCTAGTAGGTGGTGTTGGGGGAGGAAGGCAAAGGGGAGGGGTAGAAAAGCCATAGTAAGGAGGGGCCCAGGGAAGTGGGAGACACTGGACAAGGTCAGGAGACCTGGGGTCCCAGGGGGGCAATGTGGGCCTCATTTAGATGGGGTGGGAGGGTGAGTGGGGTGGGGTGACACCCACTGATATGTGTCCTCTGAGTCTTCCCTCTCCTGGACCTGGACTCTGGGGCCCCAGCCTTGGCCTGGATACTGACAGGAGGTAGGAGTTTAGGGGGTTGATCTCAGAGTATCCACCCTAGGTCTCCTCAGACCTTGCCTGGCCCTGGGACACCAACTGAGAAGAACAGGCCTCAAGCAGCCAGAGTAGGAAGTCACCCAGAGGAAAGCACACTGGGGTTTGGCCAGGAGAGTGGAGGGTCAGGGCAGGGCTGCTAAGGGCAAAGATTCAGAGCAGGGTACCCACATCAGCCACCTCTACAGATGGGCCAGGGAGTAGAATCAGGGTGCTCACAATTTTGGGCAGGAATCACACAGGTGCAGGCACCTTCAGAGGGATGCCCTGCCTCTAACCTGCATGGAGAGTGTGGGATTTCTAGGGAAGTAGGTTTGGGGTGCAATGCAGCTCTCGGAAGGAAAATACAGCAGGCCCAGGTATCATTGTTTCAGCTACTCCTGGATTTCAGGGTTTCCTGAGCCCCATTGCAAATCCTGCCATGTATGAGGGGCACTGAGCTGTGTGTGTTCCAGGCCGGGTGCGCTTTTCAGGCAGCTCAGGACTCGGGAATCTCAACTTTTCCTCATGAAGCCGATCTGGGGATACTGGTGCAAGAGTGACACCTGTTGACTGCTGCCTGTTGGGGAATCATTTCTGGAATTGCCTGGCTTGACATGGGCTGAATAGCCAGGCCTGAGGAGCTGCAGCTCAGACTCACTTGGATATTGACTCCTTGGGTGGCTGATTCATTGCCCTGAGTCTCACTTTGCTCACCTGTCAAATGGGCCATCTTAAGTAAGCCAGGAGGTAAAATTTCAGCAAAAGCTCATAGAAACCTTTGAACATTTTATATAATCATTACTTCTATTTTTCATGGGCAATACACACTGGAGGACATTCTGACAGTCTGATTCACCAGGCGCTGGTAGTGCTGCCCTGTAGAAGTGATGATGTCAGGTATTTGAGCCTCCATGGGGGACCCTACCTCTCCACGTGTAGAGAATTTATTCTGGAAGAGGGGTTTGGGTTTTTATCTCCTGACTCCAGCTCTCTGGAACACCAGCTGGTGTCCTACAACTCAATTCAATATTGACATGAACTCCCCAGACTCAGCACAAGACCCAGGGTTTCAAGGGGTTTATCCAGTACAGAAGACCACTCCCCACTTCAGATGGCAGTCGCCAGTGAGGTGCCCTGATTATCTACCCTGTTTGTTCATCCTGCAGACAAATTCCAAAGACCTCATAAACCCACAAATAATCCATTTTGGTTTGATAGTTTCCTAGACTGACTCGCAGGACTCAGGAGCAGTCTCCTTACTGGTTTAGGGTGGAGGTTTCTGGCTCAGGACCAGCAAAGGGACTCAGCACAGGGTGAGGGGTGGAGGGTACAGGGGCTCCTGAGATCTGTCTAGGAGCGCCTCTTCCAGCCACTCTGTGTTCCACCATCAAGGAAACTCCAGCCTGAAAAAGGCTTTCTATTTTTAGGTTTCATTGCATGGGCAGGGTTGATTTAGTGAGGAACCTAATCTCAGCCCCTCTCCCTGGAAGTCTGAGATAAAACTGTGCACTGAACAGTAATATCTGAAATCTTTTGTTAAATGTACTCCAGTCTATGCAATTTCGTCCTCTCTCTTCTTTTTCTACCCTTCCCTCGGTGTGCCATGAAGACAATATCAGGACTTGCTGTTCTTTCTACGAATATATGCTTTTAACCTCCCCTAAACTTTGATAAGAATAAACACACCCACATCATCATCTTCAGAGACCCAGCAATAGCCTGTAGTGCAGAGTACAGTCATCTCAGTAAGGATTTAGCTAAAGAACAAACAAACCAAGGAATGAACAAACAAAAGAAAAAACCCCAACCCACCTGTCTTAAGGCAGCCTGCAGGCCTAGTTCTCCCCAGGGACACAATCTACTATATCATTGACAACAGGACACACCCTCTCACTGAGGAGTCTCTTTTGGCTTTGAGCAGCATTCTACTCTCATTTTAATGTTGGGTGATATTAGTCCTAATTTGAATTTGGATTTGTTAACCTTACTTCCTTAATTGTATACCCAGTTCTTCCAGAACAAGAGTGGGTTCTGCCTTACATGAGGAAAGGACCCATCCTCAAACACTTAGCCCCTCTCTCTGGAAGCCAACCTTTGTCTTTCTGGTCACCAGGCCTGACCTGAAATTTCCTAGGCCCAGCTTGGTCATCCTTTAGCGTAACGGGGCCCTCTTAGCACTCCTGAGATTCCAGGTGCTTTAGCAGCTGACGTCAAAAACCAAATAATTTTGTGTATTGTATCAAAAGGTCATTCCTGGGATTTTGGGTCAACAAAATGAAAATGCAACCCATGGAGTGGACAAAAATATGTACAAATAATATATCATATAAGGAGTTCACCCAAAATATATAAAGAATATAAATTTGTGCTACAATTAAATATTGATAACAGACTTGAAGAGACATTTTCTAAAACGAGATATGCCCATGACCAAGTTCACAAAAGGTGCTCAGTGGCTCTAATCATCAGATAAATGCAGATCAAAAGGGGAAATGGAAGGCCATGTCACCCTCATCTGCAAGATTATGACCAAAATTCAAGAGGAAAGCAATGGTGAGGGGCGGGAATGAAGGAACTGGGTGGGGATCTCTCAAAGCAGCACCCAGTGCAGGAGACATCCCTGCCCAGGAATGTGGTTCTGGGTTCCATGGCCCTGTCTCCCAGTGCTTGTGTCTCCAAGAGAGCCCAGGAGACACCCCCCAACTCCCCCCACCCCATACACACACAGCCATTGCAGGCCCCTTCCCAAATCTCTCCTAATTCTCAGGGGAAAAACACCCAGACAGACACTGCTGGACAAATGTCCTGATCTGGGACCCAGGAAATGTACATACTTTCCTGGGTCTGTCTCCACCTCCCCTTGTGAGTCCCGACCCCTCTCTTAGCCTCAGGTCTCCCTGTGGCAGGAAGAAACTCCGCCCCCCGGTTCTGCTGGAGCAATAGCAGCACAGCAGCAGCAGTAGCATCTGGGCTCCTGTGTACTGAGCAGCTGCTGGGTGTGAGATCTGTGCCGAGTGTTTACCGTGGGGTCTCTTCACCCTCACACAGTCCACAGCGCAGGCTCTTGCTCTCCCATGTACAGATAGGGACCCTGAGGCGGAGCAGGGAAGGGCGAGAGCCAGGAGGCCAGGCCAGATTCTCCTGGGAGCTGACAGGACACCTACCCCCTTCCTCCCAGGGCCCTTGCGAATGTCAGCCTCCTCCTCTCTGGGCTCTGAGCAGGTGAGGGACCATGGGGTACTGGGAATGTACTTGGCAGATGAAGTGTCCTGTAAGAGCTGCCTCCTCTGGTCCCAGATCTACCCTTGGATAGAGTGGGCCTCAATCACTGACAAGAAGAAGGTTTAGGAAGATAGGGGTGGGGCCCAAGGTGGGCAGAGGTGGTGGGGGAATGAAGATTGAAAACAGGCAGAGGGCAATTTGTACTCACATGATTTAGTATCCATAAGTTTTAGGTCATCAACCAGCCTTCTCAAGGTTGCCAGTGGGTCACCTGACTTCACCTTGTCAGCCCCACTCAAAGGAGAAGACTGTCTATGTTGCTGGAGATCAGAATCATTGTGGTTCTCACTTTCTTTGTTTGATTTCTGCTTCTGCTGGTCTTCACGTTCCTTAGCAAATATGCGGCGGACACTTGGGATCACAACTGGAAATGGTGGGCAGTGGAGGTGAGGATCATCAGGCAGGCAGGAAACAGTGGTCCCCCTTGGCCCCACCACCTCCCAAACACAAGACTCCATTGGGATCATTCCTTTCCTGGTAAGCTCCTACCCAGCACTCACTCACAGCCCAGCTTTTCACACCCCAGGGAACCTGCTAGTAGGTGGTGCTGGGGGAGGAGGGAGAAGGGAGTGCTAGAAAAGCCATAAGGAGGAGCCCTAGGGAGTGGTGCCAAAGACCAGCCTCAGCAAAATGTTGTGTCAGGAGTCCCTGAGAGGATGAGACGGCCTAGGCGAAATTGTAATGCATATATGCTTTGAATTATATCATAAAATTTGAACTAGATTCTGTATATCAAAAATTTTGGATCATGATCTTAAAATTTGTTTTTATGAGAACTTATATAGGCACCGTTTATATTAGTACTCCAGAGGTAAAAAACAAAACAAAACAAAAACACAAAAACAGACACAAACAGACATAGAGATCTCTTGATATACATTTAAAGTTTTGGCCATGTGTATATTTTTTAAAAGATAGTTTTACCACTATGTGTGAAGATACTGAGGTTTTTAATGAGTTAAAAGCTAAAATCTGCACATAGAATAAGTGTCTAATCTTAATTACTACCAAAGACCTTGGGCTCAAGACCATAGCAGTCATGGCAGTTTTTACTAACCTTTTTTAGGTAAGAAAATATTTTTTGAATTTATATTTTTAAGAAATGATTTTTTGGCTTTAGGTTGTCAACACTTTATCTCACTGAGAATGAGCATTTTTTAAAACATAAAAGAACACTCTTATCTTGAGAATAGAAGAAGTAAATTTTTACAGTTTGCCTATTTTTAGGCTTTTATTAAAATCTGAGGTTTAGAATTTAGCTCAAAAATGTCTGTGTTACCACTTCATATTTTACCAGGTTAATTAGTTTTAACAAAAAACTTAACCTTTTACAGGTCCAATAAGTAAATTTAAAAGCTTTTATTCAACCAATAAGAATTTTGTATAGCTTGTCAGCAAGTCCAAAGTAACTCAGCAGTTTTTACCTTATACAATCTAGACTTTATAATCAGAAAAACACAGGGAAATAGAACTTTTTTCCTAGAATGAACCAAAATAATTTTTTTAACGTGGATAAAAGGAGAGTCCAGTCCCCACAGCAGAAAGGCAGTAGAGACCTGCCAGTGATCTCAACACCAGAGAAAAAGTCCAGGCAGCTGCTTGCTGAGACCAGAGGCAGTCCCCAACTTGCTCCATGTTTTTTTATTCAAACTCCCATCCCTGGGGAACCAGGGACAACACATTTCAACAAAATTTAGGAAACTAGCCAATTGTGCATGAGAGGTCGTAAGGCCTCTCTTAGCAAGTGTATACTTAATTATATCAACAAAGAGTCCTCTTTCCCTAGACTGGATATGGCTCATAACTTCTCAAAATATGACACCCACTTGTCCAGTTCTTGATTACTGCTCCTCTCTCCCCTGTTTTTCCTCCACAGGGAGGTATGCGCCCTACCCTATGAGCAGATCCTAGCTGTCCCCGTAAAGGAAAGAAAGCTTACCTTTCAGGTCCCTGTTCGGGCTCACTTGTCGACGACCAGCCTCAGCAAAATGTTGTGTCAGGAGTCCCTGAAAGGATGAGATGGCATCGGTGAAAACTTAAGGGTTAAGGGGAAGGGGATGAGGTAGTGAGGAGACACTGACACTCAATGAGGTGAAAGTATTTTCTCATTACCTCATCCCCTTCCCCTTAGCCCTTAAGTTTTCGCCGACACCGTCTCATCCTTTCAGGAACTCCTGACATGACATTTTGCCAAGGCTGGTCATCGGCAGAGTGGGAGACACTGGAAAAGGTCAGGAGACCTGGGATCGGGGGAGGGGAGGCATCATTCAGTATCCCTGATAGGGTGGGAGGGTGAGTGGGGTGGGGTGACAGTCACCATTCTGTATCCTCTGAGTCTTCCTGCTCTGGGCCTGGACTCTGGGGTTGTAAGCTTGAGTTTTGTTGCAAATAAGAGGTGTAGGTTTCAGGTTTCGAGCTCAGAGCATGCACCCCCAGGTCTCCTCAAACCTCTCCTGGCCCTGGGACACCAAATGAGAAGAACAGGCCTCAAGCAGCCAGAGCAGGAAGTCACCCAGTGGAAACCACACTGGGGGAGCGGAAGGGTCAGGGCAGGCCTGCCAAGGGCAAGATTCAGAGCAGGACACCCACATCAGGCACCTCCACAGGCAGAACAGGTAGTAGAATCATAGTGCTCACCATCCTGGGCAGGGAGCCCTGGAGCATACAGGTGCAGGTGCTTTCAGGTGCGCCCCTGCCCCCAACCTACATGTAGAGCTGGGTGTGTGCTTTCTAGGGATGTAGGTGTGGGGTGCAGTGCAGCTGTCAGAAGGAAACTACAGCAGTCCCAGGGAACATTGTTCCAGCCCCTCCTGGATTTCAGGGTTTCCTGGGCCCCGTTGCAAATCCTGCCATGTATGAGGGGCACTGAGCTGTGTGTGTTCCAGGCCAGGGGTGCTCTACGGCAGCTCAGCACTCAGTGAATCAACATTCCCACATGAAGCACAGCTGGGGACAGCGGGTGCAAGAGTGACATCCGCGGATGCTTTCCTGTTGGGGAATTGTTTCTGGAGGTTCCTGGCTTGACCTGGGCTGGAGGAGCCAGGCCTGAGGAGCTTTCAGCTCAGACTTGCTTAGACACTGACTCCTTGGGTGACTGATTCATTGCCCTTAGTCTCACTTTGCTCACCTGTCAAATGGGCCATCTTAGGTAAGCCAAGTGGCAAAATTTCAGCAACAGCTCGTCGAAAACTTTAAACATTTTATATAATGATTACTTCTATTTTTAATGGACAATACCCACTGGAGGACATTCTGACAGTCAGGTCCAGCAGGAGCTGGATGTGCTGCCCTAAAGAAAGGGTGATGCCAGGAATTTGAGCCTCCACTGAGGACCCTAAGACTCCGTGTGTAGAGAAGTTTATTCTGGAAGAGGGTTTGTGTTGTTTTCTCTAGGATACCCAGCTGGTGTCCTACAACTCAATGAAATACTGACATGAACTGCCCTTACTCAGCACAGGATCCAGGGGTTCAAGGGCTTAATCCTATACCACACACTGCTGTCCGCTTCAGAAGGCAGTTGCCAATGAAGTGCCTTATCATCCACTCTGTTTGTTCATCCTGTTGACAAACTCCGTAGACCTTACAAACCCACAAATCCACTCCAGTTTGATAGTTTCCTAGGCTGAATCGCAGGACTCAGGAGCAGTCTCCTTACTGGTTTAGGGTGCAGGTTTCTGGCTTAGTACCCACAAAGGGACTCAGCACAGGGTGAGGGGTGGGGGGAACAGGGGCTCCTGAGACCTGTCCAGGTGTGCCCCTTCCAGCCCTTCTATGTTCCACCAACAAGGAAACTCTAGCCTGAAAAGGCTTTCTATTTTTTGGTTTCATTGCGTAGGCAGGATTGATGAAATCCTGGCTTTAGTGAGGAACTTAATCTCAGCCCCTCTCCCTGGAAGCCTGAGATAAATCTGTGCACCGAACAGTAATATCTGAAATCTTTTGTTAAATATACTCCAGTCTATGCAGTTTCGTCCTCTCTCTTCTTTTTCTACCCTTCCCTCGGTGTGCCATGAAGACAATATCAGGCCTTGCTGTTCTTTCTACGAATATATACTTTTAACCTCCCCTGAACTTTGACAAGAATAAACACACCAATATCATCTTCAGAGACCCAGAAGAGCCTGTAGTGCAGAGTAGATTCATCTCAATAGAGATTTAGCAAAAGAACAAACAAACCAAGGAATGAACAACAACAACAAAAAAAACCCCAACCCACCTCTCTTAAGGCAGCCTGCAGGCCTAGTCCTCCCAAGGGACACAATCTACTATATCATTGGCAACAGGACACATCCTCTCAGTCAGCCTCCTCCTCTCTGGGCTCTGAGCACCTCTCCTGGGCAGGTGAGGGCACATGGGGTGCTGGGCATGCACTTGTCAGGTGAAGGGTCCTGTAAGCGCTGCCTCCTCTGGTCCGGGATCTCCCCTTTATAGAGTGGGCCCCAGTCACTGACTAGAAGAAGGTCTAGGAGGGTCCAGGGAGGGGGGCAAGGGCTCAGAGGTGGTGGGGATATCAGAAGATAGACATCCTGGAGAGGGAACTTTGTCTACTCACTTGGGATGAGAAGTGAAACCAAAATCAAGATCATATTCTGTTGACGCTGAGACCTTCTATCCCTGTTCTGCCATCCACCTGGGTTCTCGGAACCTTTTGATGGAGGAAAAAAAAAATTAAGCAAATGGTTGTAGTAATAGGTCCCATCAGATAAGCATTTCAATCCAGGTGCAAGTAACTTTCCAGTCTAGGTGAAATGAGCAATTTTGCTTACTTCCAAATCTTCCCTGTGAAGGATTCATGGCCAGCTCTCTATACCCTTCTCCAAACAAAGTTGCATTCCAGAAGGAAAGGATCCATAGAAGAAGACAGGCTGCAAAGAGTGAGGATCAACATGTTGCAGAGAAACACTGGGAGTAAGTTCTCCCATAAAAAGGATTAATAGGGAGGAAAAGTGGCAGGTCCAAGAACCGGGACATGGAGATACAAGGCCAACTCTGGCAAACTGCCTGAAGAGGAAAGTTGCAATAAAAGTGGAGGAGAAGAGAGGAAAATATCAGAACCCTGCCACCCTCCCCCACCCACCAATACTGTCCAGCCAACAGAAAGCAGGGGGGGGGAAAAAAAAAAGCAAACTAGTGATCAAGCAGGACAGTGCGTGGAAAGGAACTACTGTAGGCACCGCACCCTGCGAACAGGAACTGTGGAGAACCTTGAGGGAAATGCCATGGAAGTGAGCGAAGGGCTCTGGGCGCCATTAGAAGATAAGGACTCTGTGGAGAGACAGACCTGCAAATAGCCCAAGGCCAGCTGGTAAGTTTGTGCAGAAAGCGCGTGGGCGCTCGAAAAACACGCAGATTGCAGCTGCCCAGGTCCCCACGACCTAGGTTTGTGGGGAGATACGCGGGACCAAGCACTGAGGTGAATGACCCTCACTGAGTAATCAAAAACCAAGCTCCAGGACAGGGGAGCAGGGTGAAAAGGTGCCATTTCTGCAGACGCTGAACTAGGTTACCTCCCGTGTCCCAGATCTAAAGACTTCGGAACTGAGAACTGGGGCATGAAATTTGGAGTGTGGGATCCCCACGACGTGCAGCACAGGACAGACACAGCACCCCACGCCTTTGAGCCATTCCATTCCATCCCCACTCAGTTCCCCAGAGACCTGGGAGGAAAAAGCACAACTCTGGAAGGATACTAGGAAAGAACTTGGTGCCACCTAGCGATGGGAACAAAATTACCAACCTCCTAGTAGTGGAAGCCAGGGATTCCAAAACTACATTGGGCTCTGAGATGGGGTGGGCCACATAAATGGGAGTAAGAAGGGAAACAAGGCCTGGAGCAAGCCCCGTTCTGAACTAAGAGCCAGGCACAGGATTTGGGGCGTGGGATGTGCCATAACATTGGGCACTGCACAGGGTGACAACTGGTGTTTTGGATCTCAGTGCCCTGGGACTGAGACCTAGAGCTCAGAAATCAGGGCACAGAATCAACTCGGATATTAAAGAAAATGCATATATAATGGAAGGCACAGCACCGGGTGAACACTGGGCAGACACAGAACCCAGTGTGAGCAATAGTCCCTGAGTTGACATGTTCCCCTCCCCATCTCTGTTTCTCAGAGAACTTCAGGGGAAAAGCAGAGGACAGTAAGTACAGGTCTCTGGCAGAAAACAATCCTACAAGCAAATAGACTAAAAAAAAAGAAGGCAGGAACAGCTATACTTATATCAAATGAAATAGACTTCAAATTAAAAAAAGGTAAAAAGAGACAAAGATGGACACTACATTATGATCAAGGGGACAATGCATTAGGAAGATATAATACTCATTGTGGGGGCTCCTATTACTGCAGCAGGTTGACTGCCTCATACCGTGGGGCCAAAGAAACTGCCTCATACTGAGGGGCCAAAGAACCCCCTGTGCCTCATACCATGGGGCTGAAATCCTGTCATAACCTGCATACGTTCTCTACCTTTTGTTCTTGGCCACAGGAGCAAATAACATTGAATTGGGCTAAGGCACACTGGAGGAGACTAGGTGGGTGAGCATGCTCAATAAAACATGCTGAGAATTTGTTTTCAGCTCCTGACCACACTTTTATATATTGGTAATCAAATTCAGCATATTAAAACACATCTTACAAAAATAGACTCAAAGTTAAAGGATGGAAAACAATCCTACAAGCAAATGGAACAAAAAAAGAAAGCAGGAACAGCTATACTTACATCAGATAAAACAGATTTCAAACTCAAAAAGATAAAAAGAGACCCCAACAGTCACTACATTATGATCAAGGGGACAATACTTCAAGAAGAAATAACACTCATTAACATATATTCACCAAATGAAGGAGCACCAAAATATATCAGACAACTATTGTCATCTCTGAAAACAGACATCAGAGAAAACACATACGTAGTGGGAGACTTCAACACACCGCTATCAACAATGGATAGATCAACAAGACAAAAAATAAATAAAGACACTAAAGCTCTGAATAAGGACCTAGAGCACTTGGGCTTAACAGACATCTATAGAACACTAAACCCAAAAAAATCTGAGTACACATTTTTCTCAAGCGCACTCAGATCATTCTCCAGGATCGATCACATACTGGGACACAAGACAAACATCAACAGATATACACCAAGATTGAAATGATACCAACCATCTTTTCTGACCATGAAGGCATCAAACTAGAAATAAACCATTAAAAGAAGGCAAGGAACTCTCCTATCTCATGGAGATTGAAACCACACTACTGAAAGACCATTGGACCAATGAGGAGATCAAAGAAGAAATTAAAAAATTCGTTGAATTGAATGACAACGAGGACATCAATTTCCTAAATGTATGGGATGCAGCAAAAGCAGTAATAAGAGGAAAATATATAGCAATAGAAGCTCACATCAAGAAACAAGAAAGAACTCAAAGAAACAACCTAATCTCGAAGCTCAAAGATCTAGAAAAAGAACAACAAAAAAACCCCCCAAAACCAGTAGAAGAAAAGAAATAATAAAAACCAAAGCAGAAATAAATGAAATTGAAACTAAAAAAACAATCCAAAAGATCAATGAAACCAAGAGCTGGTTCTTCGAAAAAATCATTAAAATAGACAAACCCCTAGCCAGGCTCACAAAGGAAAAAAGGGAGAAAGCACAAATAAACAGGATCATAAATGAAAGAGGAGAAATCACAATGGACACAGCAGAAATCAAAAAAATAATCAGTACCTACTATGAACAGTTATATGGAAACAAGTTCAACAATCTAGAGGAGATGGACAAATTCCTACAACTCTACAATCACCCAAAGCTAGACAAAGAAGAAATAGAACACCTAAACAGACCAATTACAAGCAGCGAATTTGAAATGGTAATCAAAAACCTCCCCAAAAACAAAAGCCCAGGACCTGATGGATTTACAAATGAATTCTACCAAACATTCAGAGACGAATTAGTGCCTATCCTTCACAAACTCTTCCAAAATTTGAGAAGGAAGGGATAATACCAAACACGTTCTATGAAGCCAACATTACACTAATACCAAAACCGAACAAGGACAACACAAAAAAGGAAAACTACAGGCCAATCTCCCTAATGAACACTGATGCAAAAATCCTCAATAAAATTTCAGCTATCAGAATCCAACAATATATCCATAAGATAATTCACCACGACCAAGTAAGACTCATGCCAGGGACACAAGGATGGTTCAACATCTGAAAATCAATCAGCTTGGCAGAAAATAATCCTACAAGCAAATAGACTAAAAAAAAGGAATCATTTATGATCCTGTTTATTTGTGCTTTCTCCCTTTTTTCTTTGTGAGCCTGGCTAGGGGTTTGTCTATTTTATTGATTTTTTTGAAGAACCAGCTCTTGGTTTCAACGTTATCCAACACATCAACAAAAAGAAATATAAAAACCATATGATAATATCAATCGATGCTGAGAAAGGTTTTGACAAAGTGCAACATCCATTCATGATAAAAGCCCTTGAAATTCTTGGGATACAAGGAACATACCTCAACATCATAAAGGCCATATATGACAAGCCAACAGCCAGTATCATTCTCAATGGTGAAAAGTTGAAAGCATTTCCATTAAGATCTAGAACAATATAAGGATGTCCACTCTCACCACTGCTTTTCAATATAATACTGGAAGTCCTAGCCAGAGCAATAAGACAAGAGAAAGACATACAAGGAATCCAAATAGGAAAAGAAGTCAAACTATCACTATTTGCAGATGATATGATAATATACATAGAGAACCCCAAAAACTCCACAGAAAAACTAATTCAATTCATCAATCAGTTCAGTAAAGTGGCAGGATACAAAATCAACACGCAAAAGTCAGTAGCCTTCCTATACACAAACAATAAATCTGAAGAAGAAGAAAACAAAAAAAACCATCCCTTTTATTATCAAAACAAAAAAAAATCAAATACTTGGGAATAAATCTAACAAAAGAGGTAAAGGATCTATACAAAGAAAACTACAAAACACTGTTAAAAGAAATAGAAGAAGACACAAAGAAATGGAAAGACATCCCCTGCTCTTGGCTTGGAAGAATAAACATTATGAAAATGGCCATCCTACCAAAAGCAATATACAGATTCAATGCTATTTCAATAAAAATTTCAATGTCATTCTTCAAAGAAATAGAACAATTATTGATGAAGTTCATATGGAATCACCAAAAACCATGAATAGCCAAAGCTCTCCTGAAAAAAACAGAAGGGAATGGAGGCATCACACTCCCAGACTTCAGACTATACTACAAAGCCATAATCATCAAAAATGCATGGTATTGGAACAAGAACAGACACACAGACCAATGGAATTGAATAGAAAATCCAGAAATAAACCCACAGATTTATGGTCAACTAATCTTTTTTTTTTTTTAAAGATTTATTTATTTATTTGTTTGTTTGTTTATACATACAAGCACTGGGTACAGTCAGAAGCACGGGCGGGTAAGAGAATTCACCAGAGCGGGGAGCAGAGCAGGCAGAAGGACCGAAGTACACTGCTGAGGGGAGCAGTGGACGGCAAGAGAGGTCTGCGCACCACGCGGGACCCTCCTCTTGTGGCCAGGGAGCAGCCAGGGGATTGAACCTGCGCCGCATAGGCTGCGGGCAGCTTTGCAACCCAGCACTCAACCGCTGCACCACCGGGGAGGCCCTGGTCAACTAATCTTTGACAAAGGAACAAAGACTATGTATTGGAGCAAAGAAAGTTTGTTCAATAAATGGTGCTGGGAAAACTGGGTCGCTACATGCAAAAGAATGAAGCTTGACCACTACCTCACACCATACACAAAAATCAACTCAAAATGGATTAAAGAACTAGACATAAGACCTGAAA